AACCCCATGAGTCGCATTCGGCCCCTGCCACACGATTCCCATCCACGAGCTTGACAATCGGCACCCGTCTCGCAGAGGATCTGGAAGTCAAAACTGCTTTTCATCTGAATTCGATACTTAAGTCAATGTTCTTTTGACCAGAAAGCTTATTGTCTTTAGAAATTAGTTTAGTAATATCTTGATTCTAGTTACAGTAACCCACCATTGGTTCCTGCCAAGACAACAGAAGGCCACCGAGATCACCGAAATGGCGAGAATCGCAAGAAGGGATTTCATTTCAAAGAAAACGATTGAATGATTGCAACTTTTTCGGTTTGATTGAATTTTATTTGATTATTTGATTGGAAAAATTTTCATGAATTTGAGAACCAAAACAAGACAAGTCATTTGTCAACAAGACAAGTTTCTTTTGGTAAACAGATAAAAATGATGCGAGAACGAAAATGATGGAGTTGTTAAGAATTTACTGTGATAAACGGCTTTTGAAATGTTCAATGTGGGTATTTATTGAAATTAGTATTTATTGAGATAAACATTGAATAAAACAATGGCTAACAAAACGTTAAAACAATCACCTTGAAAGAACGAGTATCAAAACAAAAATCTCTAGGTTTTTATGGGACAACCTAATAATAAACTAATTTGTTTTATCGATATTTATTCCTGATCTTTTCAAAATTTCGAAATTTATGCCTGAATCGCTTAAAAAGCGAAGGCAAAAAGCACTCTTGTCGACCATTCGCTTAAAATTTGTGTGTTCTGTGTGTTCTTTGTGCGGCCGCGTAATCGCTCGTCGTCCGGCGCAGGGCTTTTACATACCCCCCCCCCTTCCCTCCTCCTATGCCAAATTGACCTGGCCGACTCCAACTCCTCAAATCGGACATTGACTTCTCCTCAAATCAAGGCTAATCTCAATCTATTGGATTGGTGAATTGAAAACTACGGGCTATTGTCATATGTGACAGTTTGAGCACTTTCTCCAAAAGAAACCCATTTTGGTGTCAATGGAAAAGTTGTAGAGAATTAAAAATTAAGCTTATATCCAAATTTTCAGAACGATTCAAAAACTGGTTTTCAAGAAATGCGTAATTTACGAATATTCACAAAACTTGCATTTTAAGCAAAACTACTAAGTGTATCTTTTTGGAAATTTGGCTATAAGCCTAATTTTTTGATTCTCTGCAACTTCTCTATTGACACCAAAATGGGTTTTTTTGAAGAAAGTGCTCAAACTGGGACATCTCCAGCCCTCCACTTTCTCACACTTGTCTCACACACAAACCAAAATCCTACTACGAAAGAGGAATCCGCAAATTGCCTGTAAAATGGGCAGAAGTCGTCAATAATAATGGAAATTATTTGGAATGAATTGATGGTTTTATGTTCAAAAAAGGCGTCCTTGACAAATCCCTTGAGTCGAATTCGGCATGAGTTCACACGATTCCCATCCACGAGCTTGACAATCGGCACCCGTTTCGCAGAGGATCTGGAAGTGAAACTGTTTTTCATCTGAATTGGATATCTAAGCCAATGTTTCTTTGATCAGAAAGCTGATTTTCTTTAGAAATGAGTTTAGTAATAGCTTAATTGTAACCGTTACAGTAACCCACCATTGGTTGCCTGCCATGACAACAGAAGGCCACCGAGATCACCGAAACGGCGAGAATCGCAAGAAATGATTTCATTTGAAAAAACGATCGAATGATTGAAACTTCTCGATTTGATTGAATTTTATTTGATTATTTGATTGGACAAATTGTTATGAATTCGAAAACCCAAACAAGACAAGTCATTTCTTTTTGGTAAACAGGCAAAAATGATGCGAAAAGTTTCAGGACTGAAGAGGGAATTTTTGATGAATTGTTGAAAATATTATTCTCAAGTGGAATTGTTAAGAATTTATTATGATAAAGTCTTATATTATTATGAATTTATTTTGATAAATTTATTATGTTTAATAGAGTATTTATTGGATAAGTATTGAATAAAACCAGATCGAAACAAAAATCTCTAGGCTTTTATAGGACAACCTAATCATAGACTGATTTGTTTTATCGATATTTATTCCTGATTTTTTCAAAATTTCGAAATTTATTCCTGAATCACTTATAAAAAAGCAAAGGCAAAAAGCACTCTTGTCGACCATTCAACCCTTTGATGGCATCTTACAGACGAAGCTGAAGATCTGCACATAATCGTCCACCCAACCCCACACCAGTGAGCCACACTGTCTGCCGCCGGTCTAAACAGGGATTTGTTTCATGTGCGCGAATTTGCATACAATCCAGTTCCAAGCTCGGTACTCTTCACTCCACGGATTCGCTCCAAAATAGTGGACCGGCGATCCTTCAGTCCATAGACCTGTACCGAGCTTCCCGCGTCCATGATAACTGATCCACGCCGACGTTTAACGATCACACGGAAAGCCGGAAAACAGGTCTAAAAAATTGACAAAAATGATGTTTTTGGGAGCTTGCAAAACTCTATTAGGTTACTGTTTTAGTTGGTATCATCACTTTATTGGGTTTTTTTCAGGTTCATCCATCTGAGTGTCTTATTTTGTTCAAGAATTGTGATAAGGTTTGAATGAATTTTATTTGATTATTTGATTGGACAGATTCTTATGAATTCGAAAACCCAAACAAGAGAAGTCATTTCTTTTGGTAGACAGACCAAAATGATGCGAGAACGAAAATGATGGAATTTTTAAGAATTTATTATGAAACACAGCTTTTGAAATGTTGAATATGGGTATTTATTGAAATTAGTATTTTTTGAAATAAGTATTGAATAAAATAATGGTTGACAAAACGTCAAAACAATCACCATGAAACAGCAAAGCCAGAAAGGTATTGGCAAAACACTGCCAAAATGCCAAATTTCCAATCATTACTTTCACAATTATGCTTCGGAAATCTCGCTTACATTCTTTTGACTGACAATGCTAGATGATAGTTTCTCAGTCGAGCAATGGGATAGTTTCCATCATCGCCCATCTCCATCATCGGTTTTCCTATCTTCTTGCTCACAAAAATCGAGTCTCGTCTTTAGCCGAAGAGCTCTATGCACAAATTCCGAAGCCGAAGAGCACAAATTAAAATTCGTCTTTGTATCATTTGGATCGGATTTTGGAAACGATCTACAGCTTTTCCCGAAGCATCAATGTATTCGCTGACACGGAAACAGTAGTGATCCTGAATTTTGAAGTTGAAGACCAAAGTTGAGAATTTTTTGACCAATGGGCTTCTCAGCTCCAAGAATTCTCAGCTCCAATACATTGTTTCTTTGTGAAATCACACAATTTATAGCGAACAGATAAACAGTCCAAAATTTGTGTGCAGCTAAAGCGTTTGGCATTCTAACAAGCATTCTAACAAGCATAACAAGCATTCTAACAACATTGAAGGCATGCAAGATTTGTGAAAAGTTCATTTAGTTAAGAAATCGATTCCGGGGAAATGTTTAATTCAAAGTTTTCTTTGAATCATTACAAAAAAGCGACTAATCATCTTGTTTCAGAGCAATTCTCTTGTTAGCTGATTTTGAAAACTTGAAAATAATCGAATATTTATGGGATCTTGTAAAGTAAGTTTCCCAAGTTGAACCATTAATGGAGTAGTTTGGGATAAAACTGATAATGGATCAAAACTTTCCCATTAGAATTGGACTGTGGAAGAAAGGAAAACCGATGATGGAGGTGGACTATCCGATTGCTCGACTGAGAAACTATCATCTAGCATTGTCAGTCAAAAGAATGTAAGCGAGATTTCCGAAGCATAATTGTGCAAGTAATGATTGGAACTTTGGCATTTTGGCAGTGTTTTGCCAATACCTTTGCTGTTTCATGGTGATTGCTAACGTTTTATCAACCATTATTTTATTCAATACTTATTTCAAAAAATACTAATTTCAATAAATACCCACATTGAACATTTCAAAAGCTGTGTTTCATAATAAATTCTTAAAAATTCCATCATTTTCGTTCTCGCATCATTTTTGCCTCTTTACCAAAAGAAATGACTTGTCTTGTTTGGGTTTTCGAATTCATAAGAATTTGTCCAATCAAATAATCAAATAAAATTCCTTCAAACCTTATCACAATTCTTGAAAAAAATAAGACACTCAGATGGATGAACCTGAAAAAAACCCCAATAAAGTGATGATACCAACTAAAGCAGTAACCTAATAGAGTTTTGTAAGCTACTAAAAACACCATCTTTGTCAATTTTTTAGACCTGCTTTCCGGCTTTCCGTGTGATGGTCAAACGTCGGCGTGGATCGGTTATTATGGACGCGGGAAACTCGGCACAGGCCAATGGACTGACGGACCGCCGGTCCAGTATTTTGGAGCGAATCCGTGGAGTGAAGAGTTCCAGTCTGGAACTGAATTGTATGCAAATTCGCGCAGATGAAACAAATCCCTGTTTAGACCGGCGGCAGACAGTGTGGCGGACTGGTGTGGGGTTGGGTGGACGATTATGTGCATATCTTCAGCTTCGTCTGTAAGATGCCATCAAAGGGCTGAATGGTCGACAAAAGTGTTTTTTGCCTTCGCTTTTTTATAAGTGATTCAGGAATAAATTTCGAAATTTTAAAATATTCAGGAACAAATATCGATAAAACAAATCAGTCTATGATTAGGTTGTCCCATAAAAGCCTAGAGATTTTTGTTTTGATCAGTACCCTTTTTTTCATGGTGATTGTTTTAACGTTTTGTTAACCATGGTTCTATTCAATACTTATCTCAATAAATACTCATATTAAAAATTTGCTGTTTATCCTAATAAATTTTTAACAATTCCACTTGAGAATAATATTTTCAACAATTCATCAAAAATTCCCTCTTCAGTCCTGAAACTTTTCGCATCATTTTTGCCTGTTTACCAAAAAGAAATGACTTGTCTTGTTTGGGTTTTCAAATTCATAACAATTTGTCCAATCAAATAATCAAATAAAATTCAATCAAATCGAGAACTTTCAATCATTAAATCGTTTTTCAAATGAAATCATTTCTTGCGATTCTCGCCGTTTCGGTGATCTCGGTGGCCTTCTGTTGTCATGGCAGGCAACCAATGGTGGGTTACTGTAACGGTTACAATTAAGCTATTATTAAACTAATTTCTAAAGACAATAAGCTTTCCGATCAAAGAAACATTGGCTTATATATCCCATTCAGGCGAAAAACAGTTTCACTTCCAGATCCTCTGCGGAACGGATGCATATTGTCAAGCTTCTGGATGGGAATCGTGCAAACTCATGCCGAATTCGACTTATGGGATTTGCCAAGGACGCATGGTTTGTAGCTCGAGCTTTTAAGTGTTTGAGAGCTAATATAAGTTCTAATCTAAAATATCCATAGCTTTTGTCTGATAGTCGCAACCATCATCACTAATTATTGATCAGACTTGGCGTCAGACATCGGTACTTGACAGCGGTACTTGATACACTTATAGTCCAGTGCCGGCACCGAGACGGATGCCGTTAAATCGAAGTCTACCTAGATCAATCTAGCTATCCAAGACGAATCCTACAATCAAAAACTTTTTAGGCCAACATCTGTTCTGATGATGAGTTCTGTGTGAAGAGTGGATTCGGTGAGAGATGTGAGAAGGCCATCAATGAGACAAAGGGATCATGCAAGAGAGCAAATCGACCAGCTTCCATCCCATTCCCAAGAAATGGAAGTTTAGTTGAGTATTTGCCATCCTTCAACTCAACAACCACCCCACCATCGTGAACTAACTTTTTAATAAAGTGTTTCGTTCTGGCAAAATAATATCATCAAGCACCAGTTTTCGTTTTAAAAACTATCAATGAATGCGACGAATGGCTAAGCGAATTTCGTTTCTGTAAAAAGCATTAACTGCTAAATTAAATGTCGTTTCTGGATTTACCAAAGTTTTATCTGAGATTAGCCTCATAAGCTCAGACACTTGCTTGAAAGATGTGGACAGGACTTTTCAGCCACCCTGTAGAAAAGTTCACTCACTTTCAGCCACCCTGTAGAACAGTTCACTTACTGAACAGAATTTCAATCAATGAGTCACAGAGATATTAAATCGGCTTAGCTGCCTTTGCAGTCTATTTTATACTTCTGTTTTAAAATTATTGGGTTGATGCATTGAAAACTTCGGCCTATTGTCATATGTGACAGTTTCTTCAAAAGAAACCCATTTTGGTGTCAATGGAAAAGTTGTAGAGAATCAAAAATTAAACTTATATCCAAATTTTCAGAACGACTCAAAAATTGGTTTTCAAGAAATGCGAAATTTACGAATTTTCACAAAACTTGCATTTTAAGCGAAACTACTAAGTGTATCTTTTTGGAAATTTGGCTATAAGCCTAATTTTTGATTCTCTACAACTTTTCTATTGACACCAAAATGGGTTTCTTTTGAAGAAAGTGCTCAAACTGGGACATATGAACATCTCCAGTCCTCCATTTTCGAGTCTCACACTTGTCTCACACACAAACCAAAATCCTACTACGAAAGAGGAATCCGCAAATTGCCTGTAAAATGGGCAGAAGCCGTCAATAATAATGGAAATTATTTGGAATGAATTGATGGTTTTATGTTGAATAAATTTTAGTTCAAAGTCCCCGCAGCTTTCAATTCACCAACCCAATACTATTAACCAACTGCGATTTGCTTTTACCTAGAAATTACGGTAATCCATAGCCAGGCTGAAAATTCTGGCTAGAGGGCTTGAACCTAGGATTGTTAGGCTTATTGGACAAAACCAACAAAACCAATTAATCAAATGTGCAAACTGAAAACTCTAAAATTTCGCACTATTTGGATTAGGGTGTGCTCCTCGCGAGTAAGTAATTACTCGGGTAAAATTTGCATGAGTAATCTTTACTCGATTAATCGGCGTTCTGCTCGAGTAACTACGAGTAATCCTTTTTACACGTCGAGTAAATTGAATATCATTACATTTGAAGGGAATTTGCCACGAAATCAGTTGAAGGGTTGAATATCTTTAAAAGGAGTCGTATATAAGGCGGCGCTTGTGATTTTTGCGCCAATTTTTTTGCAATAATTTTCGCTAAAAGTAAGGAGAGTTTTTTCTAAGCGTGCGTTTAAAAAAGCCATTACTGGCGGGGAAAACACTCTAATTTGGATACTGAAGTTTGGAGTTATTAAGTTTGGAGTGTTATTAAGAATATCCTCTAATCATTACTTGAATAAAACTAAACCCGCAGGGTTGTTAAGTAAAGCTTTTTGAGTGTTATAAAGAATGTAAAGAACTCATTGCATTACTAAAACTGAACCCGCAAATTGTTAGATAAAGTTTTTCGATAAATGTGCGATAAAATTAGGCATGAGTAATCTTTACCGGATTAATCGGCGTTCTGCTCGAGTAACTACGAGTAATCCTCTTACAGTAAATTGAATATCTTTACAAGCTCGAGTAAATTGAATATCTTTACATTTGAAAGCAATTTGCCACGAAATCAGTTGAATATCTTTAGAAGGAGTCGTATATAAGGCGGCGCTTGTGATTGAATCCAGTCACAGCAAAGAAACACTTTATTGAGGGATTTTAAATTGTGAAACGATTGACGGATCAATAGAGCTTCTTCTTCTCAAAGCAACCATTGAAACCGTTTGAACAATGCTGTTACTTCTCCGTTTGTTCTCCAAATTGAAAATGATCAGAATGACGCTAAAAAAAATCATGAGTTTTTGAATGAATGTCTCACCCAAGTGAACAATGAACGAGAAACGGTAAAACTTCAAGGATTAAGAAGTAATAGATCGGTAAAGCTTCTGGTAAAGTGTAGTTGGCCGTGTATTTTCCGATGAGAAAACAAGCAGTGATGATATGTGTTGTTACTAACTGAAAATAAATGTAGAAAACAGGGATTTGAATTCTGCTGCTTTAGCATTGCATCTTAATCGAGCTTTATACAGAACTACTAACTTTTTCAGATTTAAATCTCACCATCAACATGTAAATTTGTTCTAATAGTAAGGCCTTTTTGGCTAACCTAGGTTAGGTAGAAGGTTGGAGTCCTGGCAAGGCCAAAATCAGGTTCTGGCCTTGCCTTGCTGGCTCTGTTGTAGGTCTGTCATACAGAAGTCTCCGAGTCAGACTCGATTGGATTGACCGATTGGATTGAGCCTGACTTCTGGCCAGTTGGGTTCTTGGCTTGGTCTGACTAACGAGCTAGTTACCAAAATGAATACCCAAAGCTAGCCAAAGAAAATAGCTAAAGCCCAATGTGCACCAATTTTCAGTAAAAGAAGACTTTTTCTATATAAATTTCCCAAAATCGAATGAAAACTGCTCACCAAAATCGACAAGCGAACATCAGATCTTTTCTTTGTTTCAGAACCTTTTCGCTAAACTTGATTGCTCAATTTTTTGTCTCAAAAGCTTGCCATTCGTCGAACTTTCCATAAAGTGATTGAATCAAAAAACATTGTCACTCCAAAAATCGCATACATTATGTAGTTGATGTTTCGATTCACGAAACGGGCAATAGTATTCATGGCATAACCCCAAGTGTTGCAATATTCAAGAGGACTAAAGTACCAGCCACCATAACAAGTAAAGCCTCGAGTCGGGTTGACACCTAAAGTGATATGTAAATGTAAAATAAATTTAGACGCCAGGATTGTTATAGATGTGACTCATTGGTTTTGTCCAACAAGCCTAACATTTTTGTCCAACAAGCAGACAGGCAAGCCGAGCCAGAATTTCCAGCTTGGCTATGGATTACCGTAATTTCTAGGCAAAAGCTGGAAAGATCCTTTTAATGGTTTAGAAATTTGATAAAGGATTCTTTCCCATGGAAACAAAAATTTGAAAAACATTGTAAACTATAGCACCAACCTAATAGGTTCAACTTTTAGTTAGGTACTTATTGAAATACTCAGAATTTCCAAATCAATATCTTTCTTGTAACTAATCTTGAACAGCAAATAGCTTTACTTTTATCTATTCATTTATCCATTTTTATCCTAGCAAAGATTTTTCTTGCCAAAATCGTCTTTCTAGTTATTTTTGTCGCTAAAATCGTCTTTCTAGTTATTTTTGTTGCTAAAATCATCTTTCTAGTTCTATCCGCTAATGAAACTATTTTGAAACTTGTTCATTTTCGTAAATGACTACAATTTGACTAGAATTTCCAATTGCTTAAAATAACTTTTGAAAATCGCTGAAATTTGGCCGCTTACTTTGGATCGACGACCGAAAAGTGTACGATTGTCTATAGCTGTCAAAACTGATTTTATTGATTAAAATAGAATTTCGGAAAGCAAGAGACAAGACGCTCAAGTCAGAGCGATTATCACACTGTTCTCTCAGCTTAGCTGAGATTATCACACTGTTCTCTCTAGCTTAGCTTACACTTTAACCAAACAAAACCCTTAGATCTAATAAAATAAACATTTCCAATCAATTCCAATCAATTCCTCGACCCTGAAAACCCCCCGGGTACCAATTTACAGTTGAATATCTTCTTTGGGAACAATTTTTACCAATTCATAGCAATTCGTCTATAATTTCTCCACAAAATCTCCCATTATTAAAATAATTAAAAAATTATTGAAGCTCACGATTTCCAATTTGAATTGTATAAGCAATAATCGGTAGAATCCATAAAATAAGAGCATGGGGAAAAGCAAATCTTTCAATTCGTGAATAGTAACGACCTTCAAAGAAGACAGCAAAAAATCTGATAGTGAGCCAATTTCATTCACTTTTTTTCAATTCCAACTACCGATTACAACAAAGTCCATTGCCCAGCATTTGCATTGAATATTGCATTCCGAGATTGAATGATGTGAAAAAGCGATTGAGGACAAAACCGGAGAGAAGACCAGCCGGGTTCACACAATCCCAACTAAAATTTGGTAAGAATCATCAACTTCTAGCTTATTTAGCTTGAACTTTGGATGTCTACGATTATTGGATACTCCTCTAGTTTGTTTCAAAATTGCTTAGCCTTAATACCTTGACGACGATCTTTTGGGAAACGGCCGATTTGGATCAGGGATCAAAATGAATAGCCAAATCTCAGAAACTTGCACATGAGGGCTTAAAAGACTCTAGAATCCGAATCGGGCCTTAAATTTAGGCCAACAAACTCCATATAGCTTTACCAAAAAGATTATATTAATGAATTTGAGCTTTTTCGAAGACTTGGAACATTTTGAAGAATTTGAGACGGTAAATGAAAATTTGAGACCGAATGCAAAGTAAAAAGGTGGTAGTGGCCATAACAGGAAAGTACCGAATTTCCTTTAGAATTGTTTTAAGCCTTCAAAAACTATTGACCGCCTTAGAAAAACGCGATCGAACGCGAATCGAACCAGCAACCCTTTATTGGAGCCTTAGATTGGCCTCGCGCGCCTCAGACCATTCGGCCATGGAATCCGAGGTAACACCCGGTTTTTCAGCCTTTGACGAAAAATTACACAACTTCCCAATAACACTAACGTCGGATTCGGAAAGAGGACCTAAAACTACATGCTTTTGCAAATTTTGAGCTCATTAGGTCCATCCAAACGGTTCCTATTTTAATCTAATAGGTTCCAATACGGTTCCAATCGGTTCCAATAAGTCCCAAGATTGAGATATAGATTCCTACAGTAATCCAAAAGACAGTTATTTTCAATTTGCATTTAAAATCGTCAACTCGGTGTGTCAATCCAAAGACTTGAGTCAACCCACTTTGACCCAACACTTTAACCAAGTAAATAACAGTTTTGGTCAAAGTTC